TCTCATGGTTCATGAGTTTGAGTCCAGCATCAGGCTCTGTGCTGAAAGTGTGGAGCCTGCTTGGGATTCTCTCTCCCTCTCTCTCTGCCCCTCCCCACCTCTCAAAAATAAATAAACATTAAAAAAAAAAAGGATGACTGAAAATTTCCAAAATGTGAAAGACATAAATTTATATACATTTACCTAAAATTATATTTACAGCAGTTCTACTGGCATAGAAAATGCTAAAAAGTTAAAAACCATACCCAGGCACATCATAACCAAACTGATGAAGTAAACATAAAGATCTTGGAAAGAGCCAGAGGAAAAGGACACTGCACATTTTTTGGAGAACAAAGATTTGAATTATGTTGTATTTCTTACCAGAAACCAGAGAAAGTGGAACATCACTTGTAGAGTGCTTTAAAAAAACAAAGCAAAAACAATTATCAACCCAGAATCCTTTAACTAGTAAATATATCCTTCAGGAATCAAAGTGAAATAAAGACATTTTCAGAAAGAGAAAAATGTAAGATAATTCACTACCAGAACTTCTGTAAAAGAAATGGTAATGAAAATTTATAGGGAAGGGAAATGATAGAAAAGGGAACCCTGGAATGCCATGAAAGAAGGAAAAACAACAGAAATGGTAATATTTAATAAATAGGACTATTTCTTCACCTTTTAAGTTTGCTAAAATATGTATAACGGCTGAAATAAAAAATATATAACACCGTCTGACAGGATGTTCACCATATATAGATCTAATACATAAGAGAACTACATCCTAATGGGAGGATAGTAAAGGGACCTATATGGTAGTAAGGCTTCTATATTTTACTTGAAGTGACAAAAATTCAAAGTAGATTGCAAAAAGTTTGGGATGCAATAATCTCTAGAGTAATCACTAAACAATATATGCATGGAGATTTACTTTTTAAAAGTCAATATATAAATTAAAATGAAATTGTGTAAGATAAAAAATTCAAAAGTGGGATACTTGGATGGCTCAGTCGGTTAAGCATCTGACTCTTGATTTCGACTCAGGTCATGATCTCATGGTTCGTGAGTAGGAGCCCCACACTGGGATCCATGCTGACAATGTGGAGCCTGCTTGGGATCCTCTCTCTCTGAGCATCTCCCACTCATGCTTGTGTGAGCACTGTCTCTTTCTCAAAATATCAAAATATGGGGACAAAGAGAAACTGAACACATTCTGTCAAAATAAGTGTGGTTCCAGAAGCTCTCACTGGGGCTATAGCAGTCAGTCATAGAGAAAGAGAGACACCGAAGCTTTTGCATTCCCAAATCACTGGGAATAAAAGGTAATGTTCTGAATTGGAAGTGGTTTTAAAAGCTTAGTTCCCATCCTTTGCAATTTAAGTTGAAAACAACTGTAACTATAAAGTAAAAGGAGGACTTTGTGGACAAGTCAAACTAAGAGCCTGATATTCAGGATAAATTCTAGAAACAAAGTAGAAGTACTCAAAGTTTAGTCTCACAATAGTTGACTTAAAGACTAAGAGTCACAGTTAAAATAAATCTGGATATATCCTATCATTATGAATCCGCTTTTCTAAAAGTTTCAGTTTTATTATCCCCGATTAATATGCTCACTGTTCTATTATTAAATGGTGGCAACTGTGTAAAAATTAAAACAGATTATTCTGTCTTGAAAGTTCTGTACCACATTGACCTTAACCTTCTCTATAATAGTAAAATTTGGTAGATTCTTATTCAGAATCTCTATACTGTAAGTATATAGTATTTTTCTAATTGTTTTAGGTCATGAAGAAACTAAACTCCCTCCCCAAGGAAAAAACACACATAAACATAAAATTCTGCATAGAATTTAAGGAGATACCATATTTATTAAAAAAAAAAAAAAAACAAAAAACCAACCCTGACTTCTAAGAGAAATTTGGAAAACAAACTAAAATTAAAGTCTTACCGAAAATAAGATACTACTCTAAGCCACAATTCCTGCCTCATCTCACACTTTAAAACAAATCTCCTCAGGATATTCACATACCCCATCAAAAGCTATTTTCTTTAAAAACAACACTTTGGCAGCCTTCAGACTCAAAATTATTAATGTTGCCAGGAGGATGAGCTTGGGTAAAAAAGTAAAAATTTGTAAGTTATTGAAGTATCTGTCCTATAATTTTTTTTTAACATTTATTTATTTTTGAGACAGAGAGAGACAGAGTATGAACGGAGGAGGGTCCGAGAGAGACAGAGAGACAGACAGACACAGAAACAGGCTCCAGGCTCTGAGCTGTCAGCACAGAGCACGACGCGGGGCTCGAACCCATGGACAGCAAGATCATGACCTGAGCCAAAGTCGGACGCCCAACCGACTGAGCCACCCAGGTGCCCCGAAGTATCTGTCTTATAAAAGAAGTCCTTCTCACAGGCAGAAGAGCTTTTGGAAACCACTGCCAGGGTGATCATGAGAATCTTTAACACTCCTCTGTGACAATCTGCAGTTGTCCGTGTCAATTTGACTTGCAAATGATGCCAATCATTTGTATATTTGTGTATATATATATGTATGTTTGTGTATATATATATGTATATATACACACAAACACACACATTTACACACACACACACACACACACACACACACACACAAGTACTGAGTGGGAAATAACCAAATTCTAAGCAGCTACACTCTTACCCAAGAGTGAGTTATGTATACTCAATCAAAGGTCATGCTCCCCTGATGGCCTCATCTTATTCCGCTCCTCTACTATGTACAACGTCACCACTTCTACCCAGACTGGGTTACTCAGAACTAACAATACACTATTTATTCCTATTTATTTTTATCATCAAAAGCATCTCTAAACTCTCAGATCAATGCCCATTTGTTACTTTCTAATCTCATAAATTTCTATGTATCTGCTATCCTTTCCTCAATGTATCATATACCCTTAACTCGTGAAACCTTTCCTTTGTGCCAAAAAAAGCAATTAGATACATATTTGGTATAAAAATTCCCATTCAAAAGTAGAGAAAATAGTATGATGATGCTCCAGGTACCGATCCTATAACTCAGATTCAACAATTTTCAAGATTTTCCACTTTTGCTTCATCTATCCCTTTATTTCCTTGTGGGAGTGTCTTCAACCAAATCTCAGACATCATCATTTCATGCTAAATACTTCAATATGCAGCTCTAAAAAATGGACAGTGAACAGTAATTTTAATTGAGTCAGTAATTATAAAATATATGAAAATATTGACCTAATACCGTGACCAATAGGTGATAAAAACTTTTGAACTGCAACTGATACCATCAAGAAAGTGAAAAAAGCACCTACAAAATGGGAGAAAATATTTGCAAACCATATATGTTAAGGGGCTTGTAGTCAGACTTTATAAGAAATTTTTATAATTCAACAAAAAAACCCACAAACAACCCTATTAAAAATGAGCAAATGATTTGAATAAACCTTTCTCCAAGGAAAATATATAGTCAATAAGCACTTGAAAATATGGTCAACATTATTAATCACTAGGGAAATGCAAGTCAAGACTAAAATGAGACAATACTTCATTTTCCACTTGGATGGCTGCCATTAAAAAAAATCAACAGATAGCAAATATTGTTGAGAATGTAGATAAATTGGAACCCTCATACATTGCTGGAGGGAATGTAAAATGGAGTAGCTGCTTTGAAAAACTGGCAGTTCCTCAAAAAGTTAAACATAGAGTTACCGTATAAACCAGTAATTCTACTCCAAGAGAAATACCTTCCACATACTTCCACACAGAATCTATACATGAATGCTTACAGCAGCTTAGTCATTAGTAGCCAGAAAGCAGAAACAACACAAATGTCCATTAACTGATGAATGGACAAGTGTGAAATATACAAACAGTGCAATTTTTCTAGGTCATGAAGAATAAAGTACTGATGCATGCTCCAATGTGGACGAAGCTTGCAAACATATGCTAAATGAAAGAAGCCAGTCCCAAAGACCATTATTACCTTGTAGGATTCCATTTATATGAAGTGGCCAGCATAGGCAAATCCATAGAAACAAAAATAAGATTTATGGTTGCAAAGGGTTGGGGAGGAAATGGAAAGCAGCTGCTTTGGGGTGATCAAAATGTTGATTGTGGTGTAGTTGCAAAATTCTATGAATACGCTGACTTGAACACTTTAAATGTGTAACTTTTTTTTATCATTAGGGAAATGCAAATCAAATACGAGTCAACCAATTATATATCTCAAAGATTTTTTTTTAAAGACCACTGAAATCATTGAAATTTACTGTTTTCTGAAACTCTCGAAATCTTTTTGATTCAGCTAGAGAACATCCAGAGAATACTGAAAGCCTGACTGAGAAGACAAGTTGAAATAATTACAACCCAAGTGTGAAAAGACTAAAAAGATATAAAAATCTGCAGTGCTGCCATTCGTGTTATGCGTAGGTGATGTGTTGTTATCTTAATTTGACAAGTGACTGAGTTGTATTAGGGTCACAGGACCCGAAAATGGCAGTGCTATGCTGCTAACTCAGATCAGTCTGACTCTGCCTGAGGTCTTTTTCTAGCTTCAGCGTCGCTGGCGCAAAGTAGGGAGTTGAGGGCAAAGAAGGCAGTGGGTAAGAGAATACAGTTGTTAGTGTTTCCTGAGTGAACACTAGTACAGAAGAAGAGGGAGACAAAACTTGCAAGTTCTCACTTCTAAAATCCTTATGAAGCAACGCTCATTTTTATGGAGAAATGATTCCATGTCATTTTAGGATGGCACTAAAATAAAAAAATATATATATCCAACTTTGAAAAATCGTACCCCATGCAAGTGACTTCTTTCAATCTCGGCGTTTCATCCTCTGCCTTCCTGACGTAAAGTTCTTCAGAAGAACAACCTGTTTTCCCACTACCTTTCAAAAGAGCAATTCGCGCGACACTTGGACCGCGGACACCAGAGCGGAGACTGCGCGCTCGCGCAACTCGAGCCTCAGTCTCTGCGCGTGCGCACCGCTTCCCGGTCTCCTTCCGCCTCCGACCGGGGAACCTCGGCTCCGGCGCTCTGTGGGCCTTAGGTGGCGGCTCTGTTGTTTACAGTGTGTTGTTCGTTGAGTCGCGTTTCCACGCCACCTGTGACGGTCAGCGGCGGTTGCCCACGGCTCAGCGCCTCCGCGGACTGCGGCCGGTCGTTGCCATGACAGCGACCGCTGGGGGCCCTGGTAAGCGCGGATCCGGCCTTTGTGGGTCCCTGAAGGGCTTCCCTCCATTGGCTCGCAGTCCTGCACTTGGGCGTGGCGCCTATGGTTGGATGGTTTTGAGAGACTCCTCTGATAGCACCACTCCCTTTTCCTGATGGAGGTCCGCTTCCTCAGTGCGCCCACAACGGACTGGCCTAGAACTTTGGTTCCTCCTGTGGGCCTTGAAAGAAAAGCCGATGGGATGGCCAAGAATAGCAAGAATATTGCACCCTTTCTAAAAAGGAATGCTTAGGGCAATTTTGGGTTCATAGGAAAATTGAGCTGGAAGACACAAAGGGTCTCCACATAGTCCCTATTGGGACACTGCAGAGCCTCCCCATTATCAGCACTTTGTGTTCTTGTGAACCAACATTGACACATCATAATCACCTGAAGTTCATAGTTTACCTTTGGGTTCACTGTTAGTGGTGTACATTCTTGGGGCTTAGACAAATGTATAATGCTTTGTATCCTTCATTGTGGTATCATACAAAATAGTTCCATTGCCCTCCAGATCCTCTGAGCCCACTGATTCACACCCACCTCCAACAACCACTGATCTTATTACCTCCATAGTTTTGTCTTTTCCAGAATGTCGTGTAGTTGGAATCATACAGTATGTAGCCGTTGAAATCATAAAGTATGTCATCAATGAAGGATTGACTTCTTTCACTTAAGAGTATGCATTTAAAGTTCTTCATGGCTTAAGAGCTCATTTCTTTTTAGCACTGAATAATATTCCTTGTCAGTTGTCTGGATGTATCAGAGTTTACACACTTGGTGAAAGACATCTTGGTTGCTTGCAATTTTTGGCAGTTAGGAATAAAGTCGCCGTAAACATCCATGTGAAGGTTTTTGCATGGACTTAAGTTTTCAACCCCTTTGGGTAGAAATCAAGGAGCACGATTTCTGGATTGTAATGGTAACAGTATGTTTAGTTTTGTAAGAAACTGCCTAACTATCTTTTAAAGTGGTTGTACCATTTTGCAGTCCCATCAACAGTGAATGAGAATTCCTGTTGCTCCACATTCTCACCAGTATTTTGTGTTGTCAGTGTTCCAGATTTTGGCTATTCTAATAGGTGTGTAGTTGTACCTTATTGTTGTTTTGTGTTTCTCTCTCTCTTTTTTTTAATGTTTATTCATTTTGAGAAACAGAGAGAGAGCATGAATGGGGGAGGGCAGAGAGAGAGAGAGGGAGAGAATGCCAAGCAGGTTCCCGGATGTCAAGTGCCAAGCCCAACATGGGGCTTGATCTCACGAACCATGAGATCATGACCTGAGCCAAAATCAAGAGTCAGGCACTTAACCAACTGAGCCATCCAGGTGCCCCAGAAGTTTTTTCATCTTAATAAAACCCAGCTTACTCATTATTTGTTTCATGGATGGTGCCTTTGGTGCTGTATGTAGAAAGTCATCACCATACCTAAGGTCATCTAGGCTTTCTTATATATTATCTTCTAGGAGTTTTATAGTTTTGTAAATACAAAAATACAAAATCAAATAATTTTTGTGAAGGATGCAAGGTCTGTTTCCAGATTCATGGTTTTCCGTGTGGATTTGTCATTTGTCCAGCATCATTATTGAAAAAATTATTTTTACTCCATTGTATTGCCTTTGTTTCTTTGTCAAAGATCAGTTGACTCTATTTGTGGGTGTTTACTTTAGGGTTATCTGTTCTATTCTATTGATCTGTTTGTCTGTTTTTCACCTGTACCACCCTGTCTTGATTACTGTAGCTTTATAGTAAGTCTTGTTGGGTGGTGTCATCTCTTTGTTCTTCTCTTTTAGGATTGTGTTGGCTATTTTCGTTTTTATGCCCTCCATATAAACTTTAGAATCAGTTTGTCCTTATCTATAAAATAACTTTGTGGGATTTTGATTGGGATTGCTTGAATCTGTAGGTCAAGTTGGAAGAACTGACATCTTGACAATATTGAGGCTTTCTATCCACGAGCATGGAATATCTCTAATTAGTTCTTTGACTTCATTTATCAGAGTGTTGTGGTTTTCCTTTTATACCTCTTGCACATATTTTGTCAGATTTATACCTAAGTATTTTGGGTGCTAATGTAAATGGTGGTATTGTGTTTTTCATTTCAAAATCCACTTTTTTTTTTTTTTTGCTGGTAAGTAGGAAAGCAATTGACTTTTATATATTAACCTTGTATCTTTCAGCCTTGCAATAATCACTTATTAATTCTGGGAGTTTTTGTGTTGATTCTTTCAGTTTTTTGCATATACAGTCAATGTTATCTGTGAACAAACACTGTTTTGTTTTTTCTTCCCCAATCTGTATAGTTTTATTTCTTTTTGTTATCTTAGTGTATTAGCTAGTACTTCCAGTATGATGTTGAAAAGTAGTGGTGAGGGGGTAGGAATACTGCTTCTTGAGGTCGTGGTTGAAAGTGACATTTACCTGATCCATAATTTCAGTAGATCAAATGCAGAGTAGTTTTGGTCAGTCTGATTCCTCTTGGAATTGGGTGAGAATGAGAAATGCAGACAAATGGGTATGGTCAAGCATAATTCTAGCTTTTTGTATCCAGCCTTTGGAAGCTGGTAATTTGTGTGTCCCTGTAGTTTGACCCCAGAGTTAGAGGTGTTTTAAACCAGGCAGTTCTACACTCCACACGTTTACGGTATCTTTTACGTCAACATAATTAGTCACAGTAGACATCTTTGGTGACATATTTTTTTCAGTGTTAGTTTTTCCTTATTGTAAACATAATTCATGCTCATTATAGAAAATTTATAAAATATATTGAAGCAGGGGGAAAAATCCACACAATTCCAATAGAAACTTTTTGGTATACTTTCTAATGTGAATAATAAAATGGAGCCACTGTGTCAAGAAGTTTTAAAATGGAGCCAGAAGGCCATTAAGGGGGTAGGCCTTAGGTACATTCTTATCAGGTAGACCCGTGAACTTTTGAACTAGGCCAAACTTCAAATATTCCAAGGACTCTGCATAAACACTTACAACTTACTACAGTAATGGACTTTTTCTTAGTGATAGCCTTAGCAAGCAATTATGTTTAGCTAAGATTAGTTGTTGTTGTTGTTGTTGTTGTTGTTGTTGTTGTTGTTTGCCACCAACACTGATTACATTTTTTGGTAAACAACACATAGAAGCATTCCCTTTTGTCTTTAAAAACTCCTGACTTTGGTTCCTAGTGGGACACAATTTGGGTTGCTACCCAAACCTTTGCTCCCCAAATTGCAATTCTCAGATTGCAAATAAATGCTTTTATTTCAGTTCTGCCTCTTCTCTTGGTTGACACTAACAATCCTGACTTTTAAGAACACGGTATACGTGTCGCCATATGCTATTTGTCTCTTTTTTTGGCTTTCTTCCACTTTTTAAAAATATACAAAGTAGTTTTTTTAGAGCATTAAATTTTAGTGAGTAGAACAACAAACATTTATTATCTTATAGTTCTGTAGGTCAGAAGTCTGAAATGGTTTCAGTGATCTAAAATCAAAGTGGCAGCATGGCTGTATTCCTTCTGGGGCCTCTAGGAGAGAATCAGTGTTCTTGCCTTGCCATCCTCTATAGACTGCTTGAGTTCCTTGGCTCATGGTTTCTTCCTCCATTTTCAGAGCCAGCAATGGCTGGTCCAGTCTTTGTCACATTGCATCACTCTCACACTGACTCTCTTGCCTCCCTCTTTGACTTATAAAGATCTTGTGATTCACTGGACCCACCTGGATAATCCAAGCTCATCTCCACACCTTAAAGTCAGCTGATTAGCAAACTTAATTCCATTTGTCATCTTAATTCCCTCTTGCTGTGTTATATAACATATTCACACTACACAGGGATTAGGATGGGGACATCTTTGCAAGGGGGTGGTCATTATTCTTCCTACCACAGTACCCATACATATTGTTCTCCACTGGGCTTTTTTTTCCCACTTAAAATATCTTTGGGATTATATCAGTACATCTAGATTTGCCTCATTCTTTTTAATGGCTGTATAATTTTCCAATTGCATGGATATATCACATTTATTTAATGAACCCACCGCTGATGGGTATTTAGATTATTTTCACTTTTGCTATTACAAACAATGTTATATCAAATATCCTTGTACCAAATGTGTCACTTACCACATATAGGCATATTTATCTATGGCATAAGTTTATGAAAGTGGAATTTCTGGGTAAACGTATTTTTCTTTTTTTTTAATTTTTCTTTTTTAAAAGTCTTTATTGAGATATAATTTCCAAACAATATGATTCATTTATTTAAAGCATAGAATTCAGTGGTTTTTAATATATCAGAGTTGTGTAACCATCACCACAATCAGTTTGTGGTGAGCTGAAATCAAGAGTCAGACGCTTAACGGAGCCACCCAGGCACCCCTAATTCAAATATTTTTAAAATTGCTACATATTTTCTTCTGAGTCTAAAGAGTGTGTGACTGTTGCATATACTAAATAGGACCACATGTTTGGGGCCATAGTGGATGCTATAGCTAGCTCTCACCTTTATTCTATAGCCTGATATACAGAGTGGTTGCTAAGTTCCATACATGTTAGTTAGAACTTCTCTTTATATGTTCCTCCATTCTCTAATCAAAATTTACTTTTTCTCAATGTCTTATTGGAAGTTTCTGCTGGGTATTTTCAGGTTTTTAACTATTGTTAGGCAGAGTTAAGAAACAAATAATTAACAGAAGTTATAATCTCATGCAGAAGGAATTTGCAGGCAATTGATAGGCACTAAAATGTTTAAATTAATATACAAGAATTATGTGGGTAACTATTTTTCTCATTGTTATATTGGGATATTACACAGTATGGAGTAGATATGGATTCAAGTATTACAGTCTTGGTTAACTAACATATTTTTTTTAATTTTTTTTTTTAACGTTTTTTAATTTATTTTTGGGACAGAGAGAGACAGAGCATGAACGGGGGAGGGGCAGAGAGAGAGGGAGACACAGAATCGGAAACAGGCTCCAGGCTCTGAGCCATCAGCCCAGAGCCTGACGCGGGGCTCGAACTCACGGACCGCGAGATCGTGACCTGGCTGAAGTCGGACGCTTAACCGACTGCGCCACCCAGGCGCCCCTAACTCACATATTTTAATGCTTAATAGAAAATCTGGATATCCAAAAAGTAGTTGATGGATATGGGAATTATGTATATTTGTACATGGTAAACAAATCTATAAATAATAGCTCAGGAATTTAGTCACTGATATAAATTTTGCCCACATTCGTAATCCCAAGGTGCATATGTTTAGATGTATAGCTTAAGATTCTAAATTGTTAATATAAATATAGAATGGGGCCTCTGGTGGAGAAAACAATTAAGCTGTACACAGTTTAAAAGGTTTTAATACAGCTTTTTTAAAAGTTTATATAATTATTTTGAGAGAGAGAGAGAGAGAGAGACAGAACCCAAATGTCCATTGATGGATGAATGGATAAAGAAGATGTGGTGTATACACACACACACACACACACACACACACACACACACAATGGAGTATTACTCAGCGAGCAAAAAGAATGAGATCTTGCCATTTGCAACTACATGGATGGAACTAAAGGGTATTATGCTAAGTGAAATTAGTTGGAGAAAGACAAATATCGTATGACTTCATTCATATGAGGACTTTAAGATACAGAACAGATGAACATAAGGGAAGGGAAGTAAAAATAATATAAAAACAGGGAGGGAGACAAAATGTAAGAGACTCTTAAATATAGAGAACAAACAGGTTTGCTGGAGGGTTTGTGAGAGGGGGGGTGGGCTAAATGGGTAAGGGGCATTAAGGAATCTACTCTTGAAATCATTGTTGTGCCGTATGCTAACTAACTTGGCTGTAAATTTAAAAAAATAATAAATTATTAATAAAAAAACCCAATACTCAAGATCCTAAAAGAAATGTTTAATTCATAAAAAACAATCCTTTTTTTTAAATATAAATGTCATTTTAGGATCTTGGAGTGAAAATATACTAGAATATTTTCTGAGAAATAACCACATCAGAACAGAAGATGGCGCTGAGATCATCTGGTATCATGCTGCTAACCACAAGGCACAGGTGAATGAGGCACTGAAAAGTAAGTCAATACAGTTTCTTGTATTCACATTGCATAATAGATTAATTCCACTCTTTTTTTGGTATCTGGGCATATTTTCAGGTTTCAAAGACTTAGAAGATCAAAGTGTAAATTCTAGGCCGACATAAATATTTTTATAAAATATCTCATTTTGTTTACAAAATGAACAAATTTCCATAGTGGAAGGATTTTCTTATTTTCCAGAAGTGGACTTGCCTTTTCTGTGTCTGTTTGAAACTTTCAATGTTACATTTCCCTATATACTGTAGTGATTGGAGTAAAATTTTTGAGGTCACTGTTGTATGTCTTACATATTTTTGTGTCTTTCATAGTGTATTAAGGAAAGGGTCAATAAATATTTGTTGAATGGATGGATGAAGCCTTTGTATACTAATTTATAATTAATTTCCTTGGTCAGTATTTATGCTTAGGCTAGAAACTAAGACTTTGGTTTAGTAACTCAATCTATAATCATCTGTATCTATATATCTATATCTATAACTATAGATATCTGTATCTATCACTAGTCTATATCTATATATTGTCTATCTAGTCTATATCTAATACCTAGACCTAGACCTACACCTACATCTTCATATCCATCTATATCTATATCTTCCTTCTTTATAGATGAACATGATAGCAGTTTTTTCAGCCTTTTCCTAAGAAGTACTCCTCTTGGCTGCAGCAGCACAGGAGACTGAAAGCATATAACCAGAGAGGTCTGGGGCATAACTCGGAGTGACCCAGTACAACAAGGAAAATTCCTCAGTCCCAAGTTTTGCTATAAAAATCTATGCATCTTTTGCATCCTACTCAATTGTGTATCTGGATAATGTGTCTGAATATATATTTATTTTATTGTAAAGATACTGTTTTAAATTGTTATTCTTTGCTCCTCAAAGGGAGGAGCTTTGGTTTAATATTGAATCCTTGATACCTAAAACAATACCTAATACATAATAACCACACAGTGATTCTTTAATAAGTGAATTTTAGCAAAAGCAATGCTTCAGGAAAAAAGCTGATTAGTGGTTTCCAGGAACTGGCCAGAGCAGAAAATAGGGAGTGAATGCTAATGGATACAGGGTTTCTTTATGGGATAATGAAATTTTTCTGGAATTAGATAGTGGTAGTGGTTGTACAGCATTCTGAATATTCTAAAAATCACTGAATGATATGCTTTAAAGGGTGAATTTTATGTTATGTGAATTATATATCAATTTTTTTTAATGGAAAAAAAAGGTGAAACTTCTATTTACAGACAATTGGTTGTATATGTAGAAAATCAAAGTTTCTTCAGATAAATGATTGTAAGTCATGAGTAAATTTAGAAAGTCTCAGGATACAAAGTCAAAACAAAATAAATTTTAGTTCTATGTAATAACTAAAAATTTAGGAAAATCTTTAAAATTTTCAATTCATAACAGTCTATGTGGAAATCTTTTACTAGAAATAATCTAATTAAATATGGATACTTTACTTTTAAGTGTGTTTTAAAAATGCTGATGGAAAGTCATTTCCAATTGCTGGCAGTCTGATGTTGACCTGGGAAGTTTTCATAGGCTACTTAGTGTTCAGATAATGTCCTTTTTACATTCGGTTTGGTAAAACCAGAGAGCTAAGTTTTATAGTTTGGGAATGCTCTTCACAAATGCCTTTTTTAAGCCATGGCTAGTTTCGTAAATTCTTGTTAGTCCAAAGGAGAGGAGACAGACAGCCTCCTGCAGACATGCATGCTGTATTTAACTGGTTTTCTCATTTCTTCCAGAATATTTAAATGTAGTATAACTATTATTAATAGAGCTGTTTAAGTATGATTAACCTGTAAAACTGGGTTTTTAACAATATCTATGACTTAAAAAAAACAAAGTACAGGAGGAGAAATGTAAAAGTACCACCTGGTATAACATCCAGATCACAGACTAATGATCACAGACTAATGTTGTAACATTTCAGCATGTAGATTTTAAACACATTCATTTTAAAAGATATGTTGGAAAAAAAATGGAAAACATTTAAGTCTTTTTGAGAAAAAAAATGTGTTTTTTTTAAGCCTTGAAAAAAGCCTTTGTAACACCTTTAGGAATAGTTTGACTATAATAAATATCTGTAGTTTCTAATTTGAGGAATGAGAAGATAAAAATATTGTTTTTATTCTCAGAAACGTCAACAAACACTTATTAATCCTTGTTTTGTATGCTCATTTTGCTATGTCCTGGGAAGAAATTAAATACTGTAACAACAGCGTAAGAGCTCTATGACATAGGGAAAGGCATTTAATTCTTCACCACCTGTTTGCTCATCTGTGAAATAAACATGTAAAGGCCTAGCACTTAGTACCTGGCACTTAGTAGTTACCCAGTAAATGTTAGTTTTTATTCTCCTCAACAGGCTCCTGAACATGACATCTTCTGCAGTCCTTATTTTATCAGCATTAACTTAAGTTCTTTTATTTGGACAGGTCCTGCTCACATGATAGAGGCTGATGTCCTTCTTCCAAGTGATGGATCAGAATATAGCCAACCAATCATGGCCCATCCTCCTGAAACAAATAGTGATAATACTTTACAGGAATGGCTGACTGAAGTTATAAAAAGCAACAAAGGCATCAAACTGGATTTTAAGAGGTATTTGTATAAACATTTTCAGTTTTTTAGTTGTTATAAAATAACAATGGAAAAAAAGGATTAATAGCATCACATATCTGTGCTTGACTAACTAACTTTAAATTGAAAATAGAATTGTAAACTAATATGTTTCAAGAATGGACCTAAGACCCATTGAGTTGTTTGCTAAGATTGTTTCTTGGGAACTCTTTGAAGATAAAATTAATTTTTACAAAGGAATTTATCATAAATTACCATTGTGATAATAATGGTAAATTTAAAATGCTACTTTCATTAAAAAGTGATCTGAGACAGAGTTGGCAGTAGTTTGAGTAGTTAGTGCATATCCTACTTGATTTATATTATATTTGTATATGGGGAATTATCTAGAAGTCTTCAATAACCCAAGAGTTCTTTAAAAATAATATTTGGAAGTATTGATAATGAAGGGCAAGATTAAGTGTCATTTCCTTTCCTGTGGCTATCATGGGAAATTTTACTTTTGTGCCATTTTTGCTATATAAAAATTATAAGTAAAGCCAGGAATATATTGTGATACCACAAAAGCTCACCATAAGCCCCATGAAGGTGACTGCTAATGAAAATCTAGGGTTTGTGGTAAATATACCTTATCTCTGAACAATATTTTTAAATGGAATTTTCTTAGGAAATTAATGATTTGGAAATCTTACTAATAGAATTATCAATATGACTCTAATCATTTGTTGTAGGGCTAAATGTACTAGTAAACTTCATTATACTGTTGGCGAATGAAAGAGCTATGTTAAGATCTTAAAGTTTTTAGAGTGGTGAGTGGCCCAAACTCTATTTTATTGACAAAGAAACTTAGTCCCAGAGAAGTTAAATGATTGACCCAGGGACAATAGCTAAACTTGACAGCTGAGCTAGGATGAGATCCAAGGTATAGTGTTCTCTGTACCATGAAATAAAGCATTTGATCTTTAATGATTGGTGATTCAGAGTTTTAGCACTCTTTGCCATTTCATGTGTATGTTTACTATTGCCCACTGAATTGTTCTCTCTAATATATTCCTTGGTTCTTCACCAGTCAGATCAACCGATTGATTCATTCCTAGCAGCTATCCAAAAGGGCTGAGGCACTAAAAAAAAGATTTTTCAAATTTTTGGTCATAACATATTTGAAGGGGAATGAATTTATGGACATTTATAGTGTGTCAGACGTTGTTCTAAGAGCATTAAATGTGTTCATTTATTTAGTCCTTATAACAATCCTAGGAGGTAGCTTATTGCTATCACCCTCATTTTCTTGATGAGGGAACAAAGGCAGAGAAGAGTAAGTAGCCTGTTTGTTGTCACATAGTAGGAAAGCTACCAGCCTGGCTGAAGAGTTCACACTGTGAACCGAAACTCTGTACTACCTCTGTAAAAGTAGCTGAATAACCTATTAGTTAAATTTTACTAGTTCTTATTATATGCTTTTACGTTATTCTGTTTGGTATACAAATAATAATTAAATATTAAAATTTTATGTGTAAGTTTCCTATAGAATGTAATTTTAAATGGTTTATTGTGATTTTTGTGATTGATTATTTTTATTTTCTCATCCCCAATTTCTAAACAAAGTTAATAGGTAAATAGGTATGATACTCAGAAGTTTGACTTACAAATAACTTTTTAGGAAAAAAACCTATCCTGTAAAAACAAAGTTCATATTCTTCCCAAGAATTTAAATAAGTACCACCAAAGGGAAATTTTAGGTGGTATACTGATCAGAACTTCCCTCTTCAAGTGATCATCTTGGCCAGCCTTTGTCAGGTTTTGTTTTTTAAATATATGAAATTTATTGTCAAATTGGTTTCCATACAACACCCAGTGCTCATCCCAAAAGATGCCCTCTTCAATACCCATCACCCACCCTCCCCTCCCTCCCACCCCCCATCAGCCCTCATTTTGTTCTCAAGTAGCCTTTGTCAGTTTTTTATGAGACACTTAATACATGTTAGAATTGAGAATGTTAGCCACTGTTATTTCTAATTAGAATTACATGGTATTGCCAGCGTTACCTTGATTTCAAAAGCAAAGACCCCACTAAAAAGGAGAACTAAAGACCAATTTCCCTGATGAACATGGATGCAAAAATTCTCAACAGGATACTAGAAAACAGAATCCAACAATACATTGAAAGAATTATTCACCATGATCAAGTGGGATTTATTCCTGGGCTGCAGGGCTGGTTCAATATCTGCAAATCTATCAATGTGATACATCAAATTAATAAAAGAAAAGATAAGAACCAGATGATCCTCTTAATAGATGCAGCAAAAGCATTTGACAAAATACAGCATTTCTTGATAACCCTCAAAAAAGTAGGGATGAAGGAGCATACCTCAAGATCATAAAGTCTCTATATGAAAGACCCATAGCTAATATCATCTTCAATGGGGAAAAACTGAGAACTTTTCCCCTAACAGGAACACGACACTACTGTTATTCAACATAGTGTTGGAAGTCCTAGCCTCAGCAATCAGACAACAAAAAGAAATAAAAGGCATCTAAATTGGCAAGGAAGAAGTCAAACTCCCACTCTTTGCAGATGACAGGATACTCTTACATGATACTCTACTCTACTTTTGGGAAAACCCAAAAGACTCTACCAAAAAAACTTCTGGAACTGATACATGAATTCAGAAAAGTCACAGTATATAAAATCAGCATTCAGAAATCAGATGCATTTCTATACACCAATAATAAAGCAGCAGAAAGAGAATACAAGGAATCTATCTTATTTACAATTGCATTGAAAACCATAAAATACCTAGGAATAAACTTAAACAAAGAGGTAAAAGATCTGTATGTTGAAAACTATAGGCAGCTTATGAAAGAAATTGAAGACGACACACAAAAAAAGGAAAAATATTCCATGCTCATGGATTGGAAGAACAAATACTGTTAAAATGTTGATACCCAAAGCAATCTACGTATTTAATGCAATCCCTATCAAAATAACACCAGCATTCTTCACAGAGCTAGAACAATTTTAAAATTTGTATGGAACCATAAAAGACCCCAAATAGGCAAAGTAATGTTGAAATAAAATACCAGGGGCTCCTGGGTGGCTCGGTTCATTACTCGTCCTAACTTCAGCTCAGGTCATGATCTTGTGGTTCCTGGGTTCAAGCCCCGCATCGGGCTCTGTGCTGACAGCTCAGAACCTGGAACCTGCTTCAGATTCTGTGTCTCCCTCTTTTTTTGCCCCTCCCCTGCTTGTACTCTGTCTCTGTCTCTCAAAAATAAATAAATGTTTAAAAAAAAGAAAAAAAGAAAACCAACCTAGAGGCATCACAATTTCAGACTTCAAGCCATATTACAAAGCTGTAATTATAAAGACAGTATGGTACTGGCACAAAAACAGACACATAGATCAATGGAACAGAATAGAGAACCCAGGAATGGACCCACAAATGTATGGCCAGCTCATCTTTGACAAAGCAGGAAAGAATATCCAATGGAAAAAAGAGAGTCTTTTCAGCAAATGGTGTTGGGAAAACTGGACAGTGACATGCAGAAGAATGAACCTGGGCCACTTTCTTACACCATACACAAAAATAAACTCAAAATGGATGAAAGACTTAAATGTAAAGACAGTAAACTATCAAAATCTTAGAGGAGAAAACAGTCAACACCTCTTTGACCTCAGCCACGGCAATTTCTTACTACACACATCCCCTGAGGCAAAGGAAACAAAAGCAAAAATGAAGTATTGAGACCTCATCAAGATAAAAAGCTTCTGCACAGTGAAGCAAACAATCAAGAAAACAGTCATTGCAAATGACATACCAGATAAAGGGTTAGTATCTAAAACCTATAAAGAACTTACCAAATTCAACATCCAAAAAACAAAGAATTTGGTGAAGAAATAGGCAAAAGACATAAATAGACTATTTTCCAAAGAAGACATCCAGATGGCTAACAGACACATGAAAAGATGCTCAACATCATTCATCATCAGGGAAATACAAATCAAAACTACAATGAGATACCACCTCATACCTGTTAGAATGGCTAAAATTAACAACTCAGGAAGCAACAGATATTGCAAGAATGCAGAGAAAGGGGAACACTTTTGCACTGCTGGTGCAAATGCAAACTAGTGCAGCCATTCTGGAAAACAGTATGGAGTTTCCTCAAAAAATTGAAAACAGAGCTACCCTATCACCCAGCTATTGCACTAGTAGGTATTCATCCAAAGGATACAAAACTGCTCATTCAAAGGGGCACATGCATCCCAATGTTTATAGCAGCACTATCAACAATAGCCAAAGTATGGAAAGAGCCCAAATGTGCATCAACTGATGAATGGATAAGGAAGATGTGGTACATATATACAATGGAATACTACTCGGCAGTGAAAAAGAATGAAATCTTGCCATGTGCAATAACATGAATGGAGCTGGAATGTTTTATGCTAAATTAAGTCAGTAGTAAGTCTGTCAGAGAAAGGCAAATATCATATGATTTCACTCATCTGTGGAATTTAAGAAACAAAACAGATGAACATAGAGGAAGGGAAGGAAAAATAAGATAAAAACAGAGAAGGAGGCAAATCATAAGAGATTCTTTTTTTTTTTTTTAATTTTTTTTTTAACGTTTATTTATTTTTTTGGGACAGAGAAAGACAGAGCATGAACGGGGTAGGGGCAGAGAGAGAGGGAGACACAGAATCAGAAACAGGCTCCAGGCTCTGAGCCATCAGCCCAGAGCCCGACGCGGGGCTCGAACTCACGGACCGCGAGATCGTGACCTGGCTGAAGTTGGACGCTTAACCGACTGCGCCACCCAGGCGCCCCAAGAGATTCTTAAATACAGAGAACAAACTGAGGGTTGCTGGAGGGGTATTGGGTGGGGGTGGGCTAAATGGGTGACGGGCATTAAGGAGGGCACTTGTTGGAATGAGCACTGGATATTATATGTAAGTGATGAATCACTAAATTCTAGTCCTAAAACCCTTATTGCACTGTATGTTAACTAACTTTAAAAACATACAAAAAACAAATTTACTATATGGATGTACTTTAGAGATACCACCTAGAATTAGAATCATTAAAGACTGAATTTGAATATACTAAAATAAATTATTACATGGTATTAGTAGATTAATTGGGAGAGATGTATCATTTTGTAATATTTACAAATTTGTTACATGTTCCAGGCTAGGAACATGGTATGTTATTCTTTCAGGTATACATTATATATTGCTGTTGGGCCAAGTTCATCCTCAGTCTTTTTTTTCTTTTTTTTTCCAAAAATGTTATGTCTTTTCCTTGATATTTACTCTTCCAGAAGAATCTTATATTTATTTTATTCTATTTTAGAGAGAGAGAGAGAGATTGTGGGTGGGGGAGAGGGGCAGAGGGAGAGAGAGAGAATCTCAAGCAGGCTCCGTGTGGTGCTTGCTACGGGGTTCTATCCCACAACCATGGCATAGCTACTGGAGCCGAAACAAAGAGTTAGATGCTCTACTGACTGAGCCACCCAGGCGACCCCAGAAGAATTTGATAATTGTTTCGTCAAATTCTAGAAAATAAAAAACTACAACAGCAAAAACTTTTATTTTCCTTAGTAAGATTTTATGTTTTTTTAATATAGGTTTTGTTTTTCTTATTTAAATTTCTGATAAGGGAAAGTGGCATTACAATAATCTATATTAGCAATAATTAAAATATTTACATATAAAAAAAGAATACATGTATTAAATTCTTGTTTCATTATGTTCTGTGTCATAGCTCCTTATGGTTAACTGCACAGTGCTTTTGCACATAGTAGACACTTAATATATGTTGGTGGATTCAATCTTGGGGAGAATATGCTGAGATTGGATATTATCTGATGGGAAACCATTATTCAACAGCCCTATATTATTTTAATAAATTGAGAAAGCCTAAGACTCTCCTTCCTGAATATAAACTAGAAATTAGTGTTTAACCCAACCTCCACAGACACCAGATTTCTTAAGAAACCAGAATTCTTTCTGGAAAAAGAGATGTTGCCAGAGGTACATAGATTAGTTTAGGTTTTCCTCCAGATCCACCCATGAAGAGCAGAACCCCACAGTAACTTGGCTTCTCCTGTAGGTCTTGAAAAACAAGCTTTGGAGGCGCAGCTGCAAGTTGCTTGCTACCAAAAATAGGGGTGCCAGATCTCAGAATTGTGGTTTTAACATGGCCCTGATACTGTTTAAGGCAGAAAGCATTTAGGACAGAGAAATGACAGTCTCTAAATTAAAGTCTGCTAGGTCCAGCATTAGAGTTTATCAATCCACTAAAATCTAGGGCCTCCATTTCAGGGCAAGAAGAATAAGCAAAAAGAAGCTCACAACATGGGGGCAGAGTAAAGAAAGACTGGGGGCTGGTTTTCTCTGGTTAATGAACAGTATCCTTGCTCACTAATTAATTGGACCTAATAAATAATGAGGTTATCAGTTTCTCCCGTTACAGTAAGAGGCCTGAAAGGAGTGAGGTGAAGAATGGTAGAAGTATGGGCAGGAGGAGTCCAGTCCATTAAGAAAGTTGTAATGTGAGGAGAGGGTACTGAATGTTCTTCCCTCCAACAGGCATTTCCCAGAATCTTAGCCTCCCATTGTAGTATTCACTAAAAGCTAATTTTCTTTTTAAATTTTTATTTAAATTCTAGTTAGTTAACATACCTTGCAAAAATGGTTTCAGGAGTAGAATTCAGTGATTCATCAGTTACATGCAACACTCAGTGCTCATCATAACAAGTGCCTTCCTTAATGCCCATCACCCATCTATCCCATCCTTCACTCACCTCCTTCCATCAACCCTCAATTTGTTCCGTCATTAAGAGTCTCTTGTGGTTTGTTTTCCTCTCTTCTCTTTTTCCCTCCTCCCCTATGTTCATTGCACAGGTGAGCGAAATCATATGGTATTTGTCTTTCTCTGTTTGACTCTTTCATTTAGCATAATATACTCTAGCTCCATCCACGTTGCTGCAAATGAGAAGTTTTCATTCTTTTGGATAGCTGAGTAATATTCCATGGTATGTATACCACATCTTGCTTATCTATTTTTCTGTCAATGGACTTTTGGGCTCTCTCCATAGTTTGACTATTGTTGATAATGCTGCTGTAAACATTGGGGTGCATGTACGTCTTCGAACCTGTATTTTTGTATCCTTTGGTAAATACCGAGTAGTGCAATTGCTGGATCATAGGGTAGTTCTATTTTTAACGTTTTGAGGAACCTCCATACTGTTCTCCAGAGTGGCTGCACCAGTTTGCATTCCCCCAAACAGTGCATAAGGGTAAAACTAATTTTCTTCGAAGCAAACTTAAAGGTTCAGAAGAGATTCAGAAGTATAAGTAGTGTTGTAGTTCAGTAAAGTTTTATATATATATATATATATATATATATATATATATATATTCTTAAAAAGTAAAATTTATGTAGGCTGATTGAAACCTTACTGTTTTAAAACCTATAGATGTCAGAATGGATGTAGAGAAGAAAAGAGTGAAGCTGCTTTTTTATTTAAAAGTAACTAAAATATAGTTGTCTCTAGTTTTAAGAAAAGATGTTTGTTTTTTATTTATTTTTAAATGTTTATTTATTTATTTTGAAAGAGAGATGGGGAGAGGGCAGAGAGAGAGAGGGAGAGAATCCCAGGCAGGCTCTATGTTGTCAGCACAGAGCACGATGTGGGGCTTGATCTTACGAACCATGAGATCATGACCTGAGCTGAAATCAAGTCACATGGTTAACAGACTGAGCCACCCAGGCACCCCCAAAAAAGATGTTTATGAAACGAAAATGAAATCTGTAAAAGTTTTAAGAAAATATTATAATTTACACTTTGCAATCAGTTTTAGAAACATGTTTATGCATCCAAATTTACAAGAATACGTGAAGGAAAAGAGGTTCTTTTCTCTGAGGTCATGAGCCAGTATTAAAGACACAGTGCTTGGGTACACATTAGATATTTTAATAAATGTGAATTTTCAGATTATAAATGTATCTAATTTTAAATCTTATTTATACATTCTCTTATGAGTGAATATTTGTGTATTTCTGAAATTGTTTTATACTGAGTGATCCTAATACAGAGATTTGAAACCTCAGTCTGTCTACAAATAGTGACATTATTCGTACATTTATAGTACCTTTCAGGTACCTTCATGAATAGTAAGTATAAATCAACATTTTGAGATGTGGAATATGTTAACTTTCCCCTCTGGTTCTATGTGATCTTTGAATTTATTCAACTTAGGCATTATTGTATTATACTTTTATTAGGAAGTTGAGAACATTGAAAACGGTAGTCTCAAAGAACTTCTTTTTATTTTTACTTTAGGAATGTATCTTATTGACAGCAAACTATATTTTTAGTCTAGCAGCTGTGGAACCATCCATGATGCTCCTGGAAAATGTGAAGAGGCATCTGCAGCGTCCTGTGTGGATTAATGCTGATATTCTTCCTGGTCCAAATGGAAATAGCAGAGTAGTGGATGCAAAACCTTTTATAGACACAGTGACATCCTTCTTTCCAGATGTGACGTTTTCCCTGGGTTGGACAACAGGATGGCATCCTGAGAAAGTCAATGAAGGTAATAATTTTTTTTTTAATTTTTTTTAACATTTATTTATTTTTGAGACAGAGAGAGACCATGAACAGGGGAGGGTCAGAGAAAGAGGGAGACACAGAATCTGAAACAGGCTCCAGGCTCTGAGCCATCAGCACAGAGCCTGACGCGGGGCTCGAACCCACAGACCGCGAGATCATGACCTGAGCCGAAGTCGGCCGCTTAACCGACTGAGCCACCCAGGCGCCCCGAAGGTAATAATTTTTAAAATGTATTTCTTTTTTATCAAATTAAAATCTACTTGAAATATAAAAATAACACTTCTCAGTATAAAACCAAAAACTTATTCCACAATCTAAGAGCCTAATGGAGAGAAAGGTCTGGTCCTAAAGGCATCTGTATGACTCTTCTTTCTTTTATTTCATATAGACACTGCATTCATTGGTGATATTCTGTTACCAAACTTCAATGGGAAATATTTATTTACAAGGTCTAGATTAACAAAAGCTGCCTCTTTATAAATTTTAAACACATCCTCAGTTGTCTATTTGAACTTGGAAAACATAATATACTCTTTTTACCTTGGAGCAAACTTCCTATGTCAGATGAAAGATAAAGAAGTAGTAACAAAAACTTAGCCAGTGATGTGAGGCCAGAAGTAAGGGGAGTGTGGTTGAAGAGCACAAGTTCTGTTCTGTAGACAGTGGGAGGCCTTTAAAAGTAGTTTGCTAGAACTTTGGCACCCTCATGTTCTCTTTGGTTAGACAGGGGAGTGAGAGGCCATGAGACTCTCCTCTAGTCCAGTCCCTTCTTTCCTTTCACCTTTTCCCTTCAGGATGGACCTGACATTCAGATTATTTTCCCTGGTTGACACTGACTATGCTATTTGGGTTTATCTTTCTATTTCTTCATACATACCTAGGTAGTGATTTCCAGATAAACAGTTCTCAAGAACCATGAGATCAGGACCTGACGGGAGATCAAGAGTCAGATGCTCAAGCAACCGAACCACCCCGGCGCCCAGAGATATTAGTCTTTATCCTGTGTTCAGGGCATTCATTTTTTTACTTATTTGCATTTATTGTTTTCAGATGTTAACTTTTTAGCCCAACTTAAGATTAGAGTAACTGCTATCAAGTGAGTAGTGACATTTAGGTTTAACCCCCTGGTCCAACAGTTAATAAGATTGAGAGAAAAAGCAATATGCTTTAACTTAATTCTAATTCTTTAATTCATTTTAATTTTATTAATTTCATTAAAGAATATTGCTTATAATTCAAAGTGTTTAAATAAGGTAAACTATAAACAGTTTAGTAACTTCCTTACTGATTCCAATTCCTTTTATCACTGTTTAGTATAATTCTGGCTTAACCTGATCCTTGAACTGAATAATACCATATCTGGGTTTGAAGTCGTTATGGTGTTGAATGTCTCCAGGCTACTTTTCTTTCACTGTCCTCTTGTCATTACCAACATGCACTTTATGCTCCCTTACTTGTTATTTCACAGATTTAGAAAAGAGAGTTAAAAGTTTATAGTCATGTAAATACAGCTTTTGTTAGCAGTCCCTTTATCTAATTAAAAAGATATAGGGGACCTGGGTGGTGCAGTTGGTTAAGAGTCTAACTGTTGATCTCAGCTCAGGTCATGATCTCACAGTTTGTGAATCGAGCCCCACATCGGCCTCTATGCTGATGGTCCATAGCCTGCTTCAGATTCTGTCTCTCTTTCTCTCTGCCCCTTCCCCACTTGTGCTCTTTATCTGTCTCTGAAAATACATAAATAAATAAAAAAAATTTTTTTAAATGATAGTTTTTCATATTTTTCAGGAAAGCAGAACTTTCCCCTTTTTTCATAAGGAGTTTAGCTGCTAAACTAACATATTTACTTAGGCTTTCTGTAAAATGTTCCTATATTGACCAATACTTTTTACAGCCTGCTTTTGATAGAGTTTAGTGTTATTTAAAAAATAGAAACATTTTTTCTGAAGCTTTTATAAATAGGCAAGTGTGTTTTCCACAATGTCTTAATAAGATTTAAAATGCATGTATAAAAGTCATTTTTACCACTATTTCTACTTTAGGTAAAATGTATAAATAATTTGGACTAGCCAAAAAACAACCATGAAGATAATTATTACTTAAAATTTTTTAAATGTTATTTATTTACTTAGAGAGAGAGAGAGAGAGCACGCACAAGTGGGGAAGGGGCAGAGAGAGAGGGAGGAAGAGACAATCCCAATCAGGCTCCACACCACCAGTGCAGAACCCAGTGTGGGGCTTGAACCCATGAACTGTGAGATCATGACCTGAGGTGAAGTCAGACTCTTAGTCAACTGAGCCACCCAGGTGCCCCAATAATTATTAATTAAACGTCTAGTACCTAGCAGCCATCTTTCTCTTGGAAAAGAATACTTAATTACACAATGGAAAATATAAGTTTATAGACACTATTAATGATGCAGAGATACCTACGGGAAGAGCTTTCGAATCTTTAAGGTATAGTGTCAAAATTTGCTTTTTTATTGCTTGAGAGATTAGTAAAACCTTTTTTTTAAATGTTTATTTATTTATTTTTTTAGAGAGAGACAGAGTATGAGCAGGGGAGGGGCAGAGAGAGAAGGAGACAGAATCTGAAGCATGCTCCAGGCTCTGAGCTGTCAGCACAGAGCCTGATGTGGGGCTTGAACTCATGAATCGTGAGATCATGACCTGAGCCGAAGCTGGACGCTTAACTGACGGAGCCACCCAGGTGCCCCATAAAACCTTTTTAATATTTTAATGTTTTGTTAAATTTTCTCTTGGTCACTTGTGGCATGATTTTAGAATTAATCTTTTGTCTACATTTTCCACTGAAAATTTTTTCATGTATTAAGTGGTTTTTTAAGTCACTCTGTATCCAAATGGAAATTTTTATAAATTATCTGAATTTACCTATTTATAAGTAATTTAACTTAGTTTCTTATTTTTTTAATAAGTTTTATGTATTTATGTATTTTGAGAGAGAGACAGAGTGAGTGGGGGAGGGGCAGAGAGAGAGGGAGACAGAGAATCCCAATCAAGCTCCTCACTGTCAGCAGGGAGCCGGATGCAGGGGTCAAACTCACAAAACCTGGAGATCATGACTTGAGCTGAAACCAAGACCCATAACCAACTGAGCCACCCAGGCTCCCCTAGTTTCTTATTTAATGACTTTCAGTATTCCAGTTAGAAAAATGGAATTTCTTTCTTTAATTTCAGGTTACAGTTGGACAATGGTGAAAGAAATGGAATATATATGTAAGGACCTAAATCTGCCTGTAACATTTCCTGTCAGAGCAGCATTAGTTAGGCAGTCTTGTTCTCAGTTACTCTGGCTGTTAAAGAAATCAAACAGGTATGTATAAGTGTAACAATGTAGGATGTGCATGTGAGTGCATGTGTAAGAGAGACAGAAAGAGGATGAAAACTGATTATGTAGACAGTGTGTATGAGAAAAAGATTGAGAGAGAGAATGAGCCCCGATTGTGAAGCAAGCAGATTCCCTCACTAGAATGAAACTCTCAGTTAACCTTAACTTATATAACATCATGTCTTTCACCTCTGTTCCTTACCAAAGTTTTTGAACACAGTAGGTGCCCAGTAAATGTCCTTTTTTAATGATGTTATACATTCTCAAAAAGTTGTAAGAGGATAAAATATTTTCTCTTTGAATTCCATCCTAATTTCACAAGTTTTTTCTGTATCAAAATTTTGTCTTTTTAATATGTAATAAAAATTAGTTGGACCACTATTAAATATTAAAGTATACTATAAAGATACAAATATTGAAACAACTTTGATACTATCTTTTTAATATACTTGTCAGTAGAACAGCAGGGAAAACCCAGAAATAAACCCAAATCTATCATGGAACTTAGTTTAGGAGAAGCTGGCATTTCAAATCATTGGAGTAAAAGTTTAGTGTAGTGTTGGGAAAATAGGCCAACTCTGCAGAAAAGACAAAACTGGCACTGCTCCTTAATCTTTTTTCCACAGTAAATTCCAGGTGAATTAAATACTTGAAAATAAAACATTAAATACATAAAGAAAAAGCGTGATGTTTTATATAGTTTCAGAAAGGAGAAGACCTTTCTTAGTAAGGCACAAAATCTAAACGCTATTGCTGACACAAAGTTACCAGAGAGAGAACTCTAATCCATATATATTTTAAAAAATAGAGTTTTATTTGAGCCCAAATTAGGACAGCTGCCTGGGAAACACAATATTCACAGGGAGGAAAGTGCTCCAGAGAATGAACATGTTTACAGGGTTATGTACTTTTTAACATCTTGTAAAAGCTCAAAAGGTTATAGATTAGCGTATAGGCAGGAATCATGTGTTTTAAACATCATCAAATGCAGGGAGTAGAGGCATTGATCAATATCTCAAGGACAAGATGGTTTTCCTTTAGGCTGCTCATTTACAAAGCAGATGTATAATGCATGCCTGGCAGGCCATAAATCAGGCTTTTGGTTTGAACGAAGTTTATGTACAGTCATGCTGACTTAGAAGGAAATTTAAAATGGTTGCCCTTCAGAGGCCTTTAGAGAGTTTTTCCCTTCATAACTATAAAAGGAGAGTTTGATACATTTGAATACATAAAAATGGAAAGATTCTGGTAAAACTATCCTTGATGCATACGTTAGACTGATGTAAAGAATTCTAATAAAGAATTTTTCCAACTCATCCAGAAAAAACTCAGTTTGGTAATTTACTATATTAGAGTAAGGGACTCAGATACTCATACATTAAAGAAGTATTCACATTCCTGTGGATAGTGAATTTTTACTACATACCTTTTCAGTTTCTGTGAAAATGATATTGTTTTTTTCCCCAATATCTATTAATAAAATAAATTATGGCACTATTTCATAATATTGAATTATCTTCACATTTCCAGAATAAACCCCATTTGATCATGATATATTCTTTTAATATGCTGCTGAATTTTACTGATAAATTTTAGTTAGGAGGTTTGCATTTGAAAGTGAGACTGGTCTGTAGCTTTTTTTCTTTCTCAGTTTTAGGTATAAATGTCATGTGCATTTCAATAAAAAAGCTAGGAACCATTCCTTTTTCTGTGTTCTGGGATATTAAAAAAAACAACATTGAGGGGCACCTGGATGGTTCAATCGGTTAAGCCAACTCTTGATCTTGGCTCAGGTCATGATCTCATGGTTCCTGAGGTCCAGCCCCGAGTTGGGCTCTGTGCTGACAGTGCAGAGCCTGCTTGGGACTGTTTCTCCCTCTCTTTCCCCCTCCCCCACTCACTCTGTCTCTCAAAATAAATAAATAAACTTAAAAAAAATAAAACAAAACATTGAAATGGCCTGTACCTGATTTGGTAAACAATCCAAACCTAGTGTTTTGAGGAAAGATTAACTTGTACAACCTTTTTATTATATGGTAAGTGGTCCCTTGATTTTCTGTCTTCTGGGGGGCCAATTTTGATATACTGTATTTTTCTAGAAAATTACTAATTTCACCCAGGTTTTGAAGTTTATTTATTCACAGATGGCTCAAATAGCTTCTCATTCTTTTAATTTCTTCTGTTGGAGAGGAAGTATTCCTCTTTCCTTTAAAGTCCTTCTAGCTGGACTAAATAAATTGATGTGACAGAGAACAACCGGAGAAAATCAAATTTAATAGCATACTTATGGGGAATCTACACAGACATTGAAAATCTAAAGACTGTGAGGCAACAGGAGCCTTATAGGAGCTGAGGAGGAGGGTAGGGATCTGAGGATACAAAGGGTCTTGAGAAAGACCATTAGTAGGAAGGTAGATGTTTGAAAAATAAAGTTACCCTATTATGTACATAAGTTTCCCAACTTGTGCTCCGTTTTTCTCTCTCTCAAAAATAAACATTAAAAAATTAAAATATTCATGATATATTATTTGGTACATATTCACATCTCTTTTATCTTAATGAAGAATTAATTATTAAAGGGGGGTCATACACTGTCCAGGGCCTGGCCCTTCAGGAGGTGTTTTTTGGAGAGTGTGACTTGCTCTCTGTTGTGACTTTGGTTATTTTATTTCCCTAGTCGTAGTGATGTTTTGGACCATCCACCAGGTGTGCTTTGATTTGTTCCTTGAAGTAGCCCTGTAAAGGAAAACAAACAGACAAACAGGAAACAAAACACACAAATCAAACAAAAACAAAAAACCTAAAAACTAAAAACAATCCAAAAGCAAAAAACCAGAAACACCAGCTACAAGTAAAGAACAGGGTGGAGGCGATGCTGATGGAAGAGCACATACAGAGAGAGAAATGACAGGGGTGGGGAAAAAGAAAAAATAAACATTGACCAGGCAGAGGGACTAAAAGCCTTAATCCAGAGAGAGAGAAAAGGAAAATAAGAAAGGAGGCAGGGAAAAAGAAACGAAGATAAAGTTACCCAGACAGAGAAACTATATGGCTTGATTATTCCAGAGAGAGAGAAAGGAGTGTAAAGAAGGAGGTGTAGAACATGTATCAAGAGAATGGATTAAATATGTCTGTTTAAACAAACCAATAACCAAAGTACCCAGCCTACAGGAGGGAAGAGATAAGAGGGAGAAATGGGTCGGGGTGAGAATATATCTAAATAACAAGAATTGTTCTAGAATTAATCCAGGCTACGCAATAGCACCGGTCTGGAGGATGGAGCCGTCTGGTTCCACAGCGTCAATCCCGCTCCAAAAGATACGCAGTTACCCAGCGTTGGAGGGGCATGGTTTGGTGTAGGCTGGTCCCACCTCCACTGTGGGCCCCGCAGACGAATACCTGAGGCCCCACCTTGGCGGTGGTGGGAAGAAAAATGGCGGCTCCCAGTCTCTTCTCCATGACCCCGTGTGTCAAATCACTCCTTTGGAGCCATCCTCACTGTGCCGTGGGTGCAGAGGAGACTGTCTGTCTCCGATGACTCCTTTGCCCCGGGGGCTTGGCTGGGAGTTAAACTCCCGCTCAGTGTGCCCCAGTACTGGGTAAGCACCTCCCCATACGAGGTCCCGGCTGGTTTTGTCCTGTGCCGGGAGTCCTTCAGGGGAGGGAACCGGTTTCTCCTGCTGCAGACTGCACCCCGATCTACCGCTGAACCCGGGTGGCTCCCCTCTTCCCCAGGTGTGCGAGCGGGGCAGCGGGCCCCAAGTCCAAAGATGGGACCTGCAGTTAGAGATCCTCTAACCTGCAGTTAGAGATGGGACCCCTCTCCATCCCAGTCCAAGGTTTTTTTTCCCTTGTCCAGATACAGCCCTACTCTTCCCCAGCTGCTCTTTCTCTTCCCTTTGTCTGTGGGTAGAAGGGGATCCCTCCCCTCCGTGCCTACACGGCCCTTTTATCTCCCCCAGTTAGCAATCACCCACCTATGGTCTCTCAAGTTGTCCTGATTTCTCCCCGGTAGACTCAGTCTCTTTTCCTCCCAGACTCTTCAATGAAGAGTTAATTATAAGTTTATTATTAAAAGGTCTTGGTCTGTTGATTGATATTTTACCTGAACTCACATTGTCTTTGGCCTGAATACTTGGCTATATATTTTTTTGAAAAATAAATTTATAGTTTTATTTTTCATTCATTTTTTGAAGAGTGATTTATTGTCATTAAAAAAATAGTTTTTAACCTATAGAAAAGTTGCAAAACACTTTCTACATCTCTGTTACCCAGATTCCCCAATTGTTAACTTTTTCCTGCATTTATTTATTATTTCTCTGTTTTTTTTTCTATTTATATTTTTTCCTGGCATGATGCCTTGTTATCCTTAAGTACTCCCGAGTGTACTTCCTCAAGCAAAGGCAGGCTTCTATATTACTACTATGCAGCCTCCCAATCAGAAAACCAGCATTAATACAACAGTACCATGCAGTCCTCAGACCCATTCAGATTTTATCAACCATTCAAAAAAATGCTTCTTTTTTCCTTGGAGTCCAAGAAACCTTCTGAGAACATGTCTTATATTTAGTTGTCATGTCTCATCAGTCTCCTTCAGTCTGGAATAGTTCCTCAGTCTTTCCCAATCTCATATACTTGACAGTCTTAATAAATGACAGGGCTTTTATTATGAAAGATGTTCTCAACTTGGATCAGTTCGATATTTTCCTCATTTTTCTCATGCTTGTGTTCTTAGGAGACTTAGGTACTTTCCCTGTCCCAGTTCTCAAATTGACCACTTCTTCAAGGATAACTGCTTGATTACAGTGGCGGATAGTATTTAGAAAGTGAAATCTGGGAGTTTGGTATGATCATTGCTACTCGAGTGTCATTGCTACTCGAGTGTCATTGCTACTGAGTGTCTAGGACATCTCAGTGGACAGAGCTAGTAAATACTTGTCTGTGTATATGTGTGATTACGGTGTGTGTATGTGTGTGTGTGTGTA